TCCTTCCACAATCCAGGGAGACGGCACTGGAGGAGACGGCGGAGCCCAGCAGCTCCGTCCCCTGCTCCCTTCATGGCCAACGCCAGCCAGCCTCACCAATGACAAATTTCGTGCTAACCATGATTACTTCTGAAGAAGTTATAACCGAGCTGTCTGATTCACCATGACTCTTGCTATACTTACAGCAGAAAGCATTTGGGTTTCTTGGCAGGTGAGGGAGAAAGAAAAGAAAGGAAATATGTGAAATCCTGTCACTTGAGAAGCAAGCAAAGATCAGGGGCCCAGTGGATGGCCATGGCCAGCAGAAGTAGCCGAATGGGGTCCCAGCTCCCCCCCGCTCTGGTCGTCCTTGCCAGAAGTGACATTATATGAAGGCCACCAAGGTCCCCAGCGTGCTGCAGAGGTTGCTGTGTCCTGCTGTGCCTGGCAAGACACACATGGTCATCACTGCTCCCTATCCCGGGAACCACTGCCTGGAGCAGCTGGGAGCTGGCAACATAGCTGAGGAAGAAGGGGACATTTGGGAGGCCAAGAGCCCCACTTGGTCCAGGAGAAGGAGCAGGAGCTCCACTTGGCCCAAGGGAAGGGCCAGAAGCCCTACTTGGCCTATGGAAAAGCACTGGGAGCTCCTTGTGGCCCTCTTTGGCCTCCCCTGCCCTTCCTTAAGCAAACCTTCCTCAAATGAAGGCTGGCTCTGATATCCTGGCTGATGCCAGACCCGCCACCACCAGCACACCATTGGGGACCCAACTGCCAACCAGCGTGGGAACCTCCAGTGGGGGAAAACAGCATCATTGAACCAAACACACTGCTGCTGCTTGTCAAAGCTCTCCAAATCAGCCAACATGTCAACTCCATCGTAGTAAAACATTTATTTGTTATGGTGATACCAGCTACCATGTGTACAGTTTGTGAACTCACCACCRGCAACATCTAACATGACTTATACTGGAGCYGTTGCCACCAAGCTTTTCATCATCATTGCTTCCAATTTTATAAAACCCCCTAACACCAGGGAAAAATGGTATGTAGCATGAAGGTGGCAGACGGGAGACGACAAATCTGTGAACGGGAGTGCAAGTTTGTCCGATGCAGGTGGCCTCGGTGGGGTCCCGGCTCGGGCAGCAGCTCCACATGAGGGGCGAGCCCGGCCCAGCAGATCACTCCTCCGTGAGCAGGAATCGGATTGACTTTTGYCGGGTCAAACCATCTGTGGCAGCGTCTCCAGGGAGCGGGAGAGGGCCGGCGTTCCTGGCATCGGCCCCGGCGTCTGTGCAAAGAAACAAGACAGAGGTGTGAGGGGCAGGGGGTGGCGCGCGCGGCRAGGGCACGGCACAGCATGGCMCAGCATGGCACGGCATGGCCCAGCATGGCACGGCAYGGCATGGCACGGCACAGCCCGGCACGGTGCGGGAGCCGGGCGGCCACGGCTCCTAACACTGCCCTGCACGGCCGCGCTCAGCACAGCGCAGCGCCGGGCACGGAGCATCCCCATGACGATGCCATGACCGCCGGCGGCTGCTGCTGCCCATCCACAGCTGTGAGGGCYGGCGCAGCGCTGCACACCAAACCCAAAACTCATGAGGGGAAACTCACTGCTCCCGGAGCAGCACATTCACAGAGCCCTGACTGGCTTCTGACCTCTCTGAGGTCAGACACCAGCAGCCCTTTCTCTGCAGTGGGGATTTCAAGTCTTTCCCTAGTTCTAGGAGTTTTCACGGAGCTGAAAACGCCACAGAAGAGCAGCAAAAGCGTACRTGTCCGGCACGCGCCTTCACGAAGCTCACAAACAAGCAGAGAAGCCATGTCAGGGAGAACACACGGGCTCCAGGCTGCCTGGACAGATGCCCCACGGGGTTTGCATCGATGGGATCAGAGCCCTCGTGCACGGCACCAGTGACACAGATCCTRCCCATCAGGAAGCCCCACGGCAGCCGTGCCAGCGCTCAGAGGTGCCTCTYGCTGCCGCCCCAGGGCAGCCACTTACCTTGGGGAGTGCACGGCAGCAGCAGCATTCAGCACGCACTACACCCTGTCCAAAGGCYGCGCTTGCTCTGGCTCGGACGCTCACAGGTCTCTGGGCTGCCTACAGGGCCGCTGCTCTCAGGGGCTCACTCCCGCGGCCAAGGGCAGCACCAGCCTTGCACCGTGCTCCCAATCTAAGGGCCGCGGGGCTCCGGGAACTCCCACAAGGCTGCCCGGCTTCCTCCTCACCTCCTGCTCCACACAAACATCCCTCCTGCAGAAGACACTGTAGTCCAGGCTGCTCGGGGGCCACAGCTCCTGCTGGGGCAGCTCAGGTGGGACGGAGCCCTCCTGGCCCCGGCCCCCCGCCCGGCCCCTGCCCACGCAGCTCCAGCGGCCGAGCAGCCATCCCCGAGCAGGGACCAACGGGGCACAGCAGGGCCCGCGGCAGGCAGGGCACCCTGCTGCCTGCCCAGCCTCGGCCAGCAGCAGTCCTGCGCCCCTCGAGAGGCGCCTCCCGAGAGGCGTCTTCCAAGCGGAACCGGTGCATCCCACAGGGAGAGCCAGTGCATCCTGTGGGGGGAGCCAGTGTATCTCGCGGGCAGAGCCGGCGCATCCCATGGGGTAAGCCAGTACATCCCGTGGGCGCATCCCGCGCAGGCCGGCCATGGTGGGGCCGGCAGGGCCGGCACATCCAGCTGCCCTGTGGGCAGATCCGTGGCACACGGGCAGCTCTGCAGACGGGGGCACGGCGGCCTGCGCTGCACCAGCCCTGTGTCGCCTAGGGGCTGCTCTCCATGAGCCACAAGGGCACTCGCACAGCGACAACCTCAGCGAGAACCACGAGCCGAGGCAGAGCGACCTGCCCGCGCGCAGACACACGGCCTGCAGCCGCCGCCRCTCCGTGCCACACACGCACACAGCCGAGCCCGCGAGCAAAGCCGCCCAGCCTCGGGGGACACGGAGCGCCCAGTCCCAAGTTCCACACCTGCTGGGAACCAGCACGTCCTAAAATGCACTGGGAGAGCTCGGAAGAGACCCATGTGATGGGGTTTTCTCCAGCACAACACTGACAGCACAGCTTTTCCTATTTAATTTCCTATGAGCAAAGCTGGAAATTTGGGGTCTCTCTGCAGCCAGCTATTTGCCACATTTGGGATTATTTCCCCTTCTCCATTTCCCTCTCTGCAAGCTAAGCTTCCTCCCTTCAACAGCAGCAGCCTTCGCACCGGGCTCTCGGGAGCAAATCGATCCCTCAAAGCAGACGGTTAGCACAATGCTGGGATTCGCCTTTGTTGCTCTTGTATTATTCATGCCAAAGCGCATGTGCTTTAACCTGCCCCTATTGATRCCAGTAACCTGCACACCTTGGTTTCGCGGAGGTCTGCACCGCTAGGAAAGCAGGATCGCGGCCACAGGGGATCCGTGCAGGTCGGCACGTTTACCCTTGTTTGCAGAGCTGAGTTACCTGGTGCTCTGCAAAGCCCCAGGGCAGGGGCAGGCGCGCGGTGCCTGTGCAGGACAGCAGCGGGACACTGTCCAGGCCCCGTCCTGTCACTGCTCAGCACCAGTGCCCATGCGGGACAGCAGCGGAACGCTGTCCAGGCCCCGTCCCAGCACCGCTCAGCACCAGTGCCCATGCGGGACAGCAGCGGGACGCTGTCCAGGCCCCGTCCCAGCACCGCTCAGCACCAATGCCCGTGCGGGACAGCAGCGGGACGCTGTCCAGGCCCCGTCCTGTCACTGCTCAGCACCAATGCCCATGCGGGACAGCAGCAGGACACTGCCGGGCCCCGTCCCGGCACCGCTCAGCACCGGGCTCCCCAGCGAGCCCGCGGTGCCGCCCCGATGTGACATGTGGCCCGTTCCAGGCAGCACCGGCCTGCGGGGCACCCGCCAAAGGAAACCTCTGCACGTCGCCACCACCAACCACCCCCTATGGACTTTGCATTTGCATGCTCTGTTTTGCTTTTCTAACTTGGACACTTGGTCTACCTTAAAGCCACTCACTAAGTTCCCCTGTGCATTAAGTTCCCCTGGCGGGGCTGGCGGGGCACAGGCTCCGTGCCGCAGCCGCCTCCTCGCCCTGCTGCCCACCGCGCACCGCATCCACACAATTATCATGGGGTTAAATCCAGCCCGCGACATACAGTCCCTAGGGGCTGCTTAGTTAAACAAGCTGTGCACGGCAGTCTGGAGCACTCATGAAACTCAGTCTTTTGAATAAAATTTAAAAATTCCGGGTTCCCTAAACCCAAGAAACTATTAATGCTTTATCACTTCCACAAAGCGTTAGGCACAATGGCCCCATGATCTGAGACACCACGCAAAGTGCTGCCGCCTGATGCTTTTCAAACACAGGTAATTAAATGACCTCAGCAGAAAACCTCCGGAGCCGCCTCCTCAGCTACGGCGCGATCCCCTCCATGCCCGCTGGCCTGGCCGCTCCAGCTGARCTTCCTTAGCTTGGGAGACATTTAATCCAAGCACAGACAGACAGGGGGAAAACTGCAGCTCTTCTCTTGCTCTAAGTGTTGCAACGACCACACTAAATGGGCACGGGGCACCTAAGGAGCCCTTCCAACTGCTCGGCCATGCTCTCTCTGGCACCAGCATCACAACCAGGTGAGTTTTGAGCAGTACCAACCAGGCTTTCTCCAGGCGAGCCTGGCAGCAGGGCACTGCCATCCCCTGCGCAGGCTCCGTGGCGCCTCTCGCCCTTCCCTTCCCCGATGTGCGTAGGGGCGGCCAGCAGCCCCGGGGCCGCCATCGGACACGCACCTTGGGACACCAGGCCCCAGGTCCCTSCGTGCGCAGGACACGTACTGAACGGAGGGGAAACAGGCCCAGGGACATGCACGAGGTGACGATGGGGCTGCCATCGCGTCCCTGCKGCCATCACTCCAGGCTGGACTCGTGCCAACGCGCTCTGCCCTGCTCTCCCTTCGGAGATGGGCACGTGGTGGCCGCCGCAGCTCCCTCGGCGCAGGACGAGCAGGACGGTGCCGGAGGCCGCCGCCGCGGGCGGGCCCCCCGCACCGTGCGTGCCGGCAGTCACGGCGACACGGGCTGCGTACCCAGGGAATGTTTTATTTTACACAACGTAACAACACGGCGTTGTTGTTTCTGTACAGCATTTGCCTAAAAACAAAGGCAACACCATTGTCACTGGAGAGAAACGGACAGTCCGGTGGGTTTAAAAATCACCGCTCTACTGCTCAATCCAGAAGTGGGTACTTGTTAGCACGGAGGAAATCTCCCTTCCTTTATAAAAGGCTTTTCTCTGTGAAAACTCTCTTTTGTTTTCTGCTACGGCAGAGCCAGGAAGCCAGTCCTAGGGCAGGGAAGGCACTGGTGCTCGTTCATGCTTTTTCACCCCTTAATTTTTTTTTATTATTATTTTTTTAAATCTGTGAATGTCGCCTCCAGTTTTGTTAGTAACCCAACTGGAGTGGGGACTATGCGGGAGCCCGCGTGCCCGGGGCTCTCACAGGCACCGCACGGACAAGCCGCTCGTGGTGAGGCAGCAGCGGCACCCCGGGTGCCCGGTCCCGGGAGGGGGTGTTTGGCACGACGCCGGGAGCTTGGTTTCGCGTTAAGACAGAAAATAAATAAAAATACTAACAATGAAATAAAAGAAATAAAAAAGAAAGAAACAAAAGCAGGTCGGTCACACAGTGCTTTCCAATATCCACTCGGAGCCGGAGGCGGCGGCTGCGGCGCCCAGGCCGGGGCTCTCGGGGCCGGTGAGCATGCCGTTCATGGAGAGGCTCCTCTTGGACCGCAGCCCCGCGGCGCAGCGGCGGCGGCGCTCGGGCAGCTCAGCGCTCAGGGAGAGCCGCCGCTTCGCTCGGCAGCCGGCGGCCGGCAGCGTGAGGAACTTACTTGGCCTGGGCGCCGCTCTCCCGCGCGCGGCGGCAGCGGCAGTGGCCGGCRGCGCCGCCGAGTTGTTCCTGTTGGCGTTGTGCGGCTCCACGCTGGCGACGGCTTCRGCCGGCAGCTTCCGCGGCGGCGGCGTGGCGGCGGGGCAGGAGTCCGGGCTGCAGCGCGTGTC